AGGCAGTGGGACCAAGTCCTGTGCTCATTGCAGGAGTTGGCTGTTTGAAACCTGGAGCTTATGCAGAGACACTTGGCTCAGTCTGGGAGGAAGGGACTGGACCTCCCTGGACTGAGTCTACCAAGTCGATCACAGTCCTCAGGGGAGAACTTGTCCTGGAGGAGGAGGGAATGGAGGGTGGGCTGGGGGTAAGGGGAGGGCGTGGGAGGGGGGAGAATAGGGGAACCCATGGCTGATATGTAGAACTGAATGGTATTGTAAAATAAAAAATATATATATATCAAAAAAAAGACACATTCTATCGCACTCATGTTTATTGATTGACTAGATTATAAATGTTTTCTTAGAAAATTTATGGGGTGTGTGTGTGTGTGTGTGTGTGTGTGTGTGTGTGTGTGTGTGTGTTATATACTCCATTGCTTGTGCATGGAGGCTACAGGAGGACATCAGCTGTCCTGCTCCGTCATTACCCACCTTACTCCCTTGAAACAGTATCTCTTACAGAACCTGCAGCCAATAAGCCCAGGTAATTCTCTTGTGTCTGTCCCACCAGCTGTGGAGTTACAGGTCCATGTACAGCCATGCTTGGCTTTTTCTTTTTCTTTTTTCCTGGGTGCTGGAGACTTGATCTTAGTTCCTCGAGTAAGCACTCACCCACTGAGCCGTCTCCGGTGAGATATTCTTACCCACTGAGCCGTCTCCGGTGAGATATTCTTACCCACAGTAATCAAGTGAGCCAGAGAAGTCATACAAAGGAAAGAATTAACAAACTAGTAAGTTAGAGCTAAGACAGGCAACCCCAGAGGCAAGGAAACGGGTCAGTGGTGAATCCTGCCTTTCCCCTCACTAGGTGCTGTGGTTGATATAGATGAGAGCACTGCTTTCTCGTGGCCTGTGTGTGACCGGTGTGGCAATGGGAGATTGGAACAGAAGCCAGAAGATGGGTAAGGCTGCCTGAAACCCCTGGGGCCCAAAAAACACTGCAGTATGCCAGCCTCAGGGTCCTGCGACCTTCTGTCCTGTATGTGGGTCCCCTAAGCACAGAAGGGAACCCACTCTGCTGAGCTGCAGGATAGAGGCTGTGGTGCTTCTTTGTGGGTTTTCCTAATGGAGAATCCTGTTTTTGCAGCTCTTCCTGTCCTTAAAAGTGTAGAACTGAGCTTTGTACTTAGCTCCTTCATTATTAGGAGAAGAAAGAATAAGTACAAATGTGAACAGGTAGGACACGCTGCATGGCATGTCGAGGACCCCTGCACTTTCCCAGGGGACAGTGAGCAGCTGCATGGCATGTCTAGGACTCCTGCACTTTCCCAGGAGACTGAGCAGCTGCATGGCATGTCTAGGACTCCTGCACTTTCCCAGGGGACAGTGAGCAGCTGCATGGCATGTCTAGGACTCCTGCAGACTTTCCCAGGAGACAGTGAGCAGCTGCACTGCATGTCTAAGACTCCTGCACTTTCCCAGGAGACAGTGAGCAGCTGCATGGCATGTCTAGGACTCCTGCACTTTCTCAGGGGACAGTGAGCAGCTGCATGGCATGTCTAGGACTCCTGCAGACTTTCCCAGGGACAGTGAGCAGCTGCATGGCATGTCTAGGACTCTTGCACTTTCCCAGGAGACAGTGAGCAGCTGCATGGCATGTCTAGGACTCCTGCAGACTTTCCTGGGGGACAGTGAGCAGCTGCATGGCATGTCTAGGACTCCTGCACTTTCCCAGGAGACAGTGAGCAGCTGCATGGCATGTCTAGGACTCCTGCAGACTTTCCCGGGGGACAGTGGGCAGCTGTCAGTAGACACCCCTCTGCTGCCCACTTTCCTTACCCTCCTAGGCTGAGGTCAAGGCTAACTATTTGTTTTGGTTATGGTTTCTGTGTTGTGATGAAACACCATTACCAAAAACAAGCTGAAGAAGAAAGGGTTTATTTGGATTACACATTGTAGTACATCATTGAAGGAATTCAGGACAGGAACCCAAGCAGGGAAGGAACCTGGAGACAGGAACTGATGCAGGAGACTGATGTTTACTGGGTTGCTCCCCATGGTTTGCTCACCCTGCTTTCTTACAGAATCCAGAACCATCAGCTCAGGGTTGGCACAGGCAGCAAGGACTAAGCATCAGTCACTAGTTAAGATGCCCTTCTGCATGAAGCCCAATCTTAGGAGGCGTTTTCTCCCTTGAGGCCCCCTCCTCTCAGATGACTAGTTTGTTTCATGTTATCATACAGCGAGCCAAGCACAGTGTCAGAACTGTTTGTGTCTCTGGAGTTGCTTCTCTGCTCCTAGTGGACTGCGTCACAGGACAGACCAATGAGTGTCCTCATCACTTGTTTCCTAGAAGCCAAGAGCATGGCTGAGAGACATTCAGCAGTTCAGACAGAGCATGGACTACCTCCAGAGGACCAGGCTGGGTTCCCAGCACCCACATGGCAGCTCACAAATGTCTGATGCTCTTTTCTGGCTTCTGCAAGTGCCAGGGGTATACATGGTAGACAGAATACATACAGACAAACAGCCATATAAATAAAATAATTTTAATTATTCTTTTTTTTAAAGAAGCAAAGAGCATATATCTTCTTGATGCCTACTGGGTTGCTGGCCTTGTGTGCACACAAGTCACTTCTAGATTATGTCAAAGAAGCGTGGGTCCGTGTGAAGTCCGTGTGGGGGTGATGACGCCAGGGTTGATGGTTAAGCTTGTCCTACCAGAGGGTGAAACCCCATTCCCTGACCTTCGCTTCCTAGAAGACTACCTTCCCCCATGCTCCTCATGAATAATTCCTCTTCAGCTTCCCACTGTTAATCCACCAGAACAGTCCAGTCCCTGGCTGCTTCTGGCTGGTTCCAATAATTTAATTCTGACAGCAAAATTTCTGTCACTAAACAACTGTGTTTAGAGAATTCTGTCTTTGCTGGAGAACTCTTCTGATATGTCCCTCGTTGCTTACATTCTCCATGTTCCTTCATACAACAGAGGCTCCTTCTCCTGTGGGGACTGTTCACAACTGGTTGTGTCCCCTCTTCAAAAGAGGCAACTGCACGTCTTTCTGGACTGTCCCACGAGACCCAAGAGTACTGTGAAGGTCAAGGTAGGAAAAGGGACCTAGAACTCATGCTTGATTCCACGTGTCTACTCTGGACTGTAAGGATGAGACTGGAACAGGGTACAAGTGTGTTCTGTGGTTTACCTTGTGGCACACTGTCTTCAATTCTTGGGAAGGAGAAGTAGGGGTCCCCTGTCATAGTTTCTCTATATAGTGTCTTACAAACAGCTGGGATTCAGTGTTATCCTCAGGAGTACTTGGGGGAGTGCTTGCCACTTGGGATGTCACTGAGCCCTTCTTCCCTGTTACTGCAGCTGCTGGAGAGCAGTATTTCTTCACTGCTGGTGTCTGCTGCCTCCAAGGATGGGGTAAGTATGGGGGAGTGGGGAGCAACTGAGTGTGCCTTGTGCTCTTGAACCTGTGTGAAATTGCCCCTCCAGAAAGACCCCTTTGCTGTATATGTTCATTTATAACAAATCATGCTATCATAACAGCACAAGTCACTTATATTAAAACATCCACCTTACCACTGCCGTGCAGTGTATAATAGCAGAGTCAGATCCTTCCCTCTTTGGAAATGGGATTCTCTTCAGATCAACCTTTAAGCAGACACTGAAAATCTTCCTCTGTGGCTTCTGTTATAGACACACAGTCTGGGAACTAGAGCTTCTCCATGATTCCCAGGCAAAACACAATTGCCTAAGACATGCTTTTTGTTTATTTCTCTCTTTCTCTCTCTCTCTCTCTGTCTCTGTCTCTCTCTCTCTCTCTGTGTGTGTGTGTGTGTGTGTGTGTGTGTGTGTGTGTGTGTGTGTGTGTGTGTGTGTGTGTCAGTGTGACATGCCACAGTATGCAAGTAGATGTTAGAGGACAACTTGTAGGAATTGGGTGTCTCCTCCTGCCCTGTGGTTCCCAGGGATTGATTGAACTCAGTTTATCAGGCATGATGACAGGCAACTTTACCTACTGAGCCATCTGGCTGGCCCTGAGACACTTTTTATTTTTTTACTTCTGGATATTCCAGACTCTGAATAACGGTTATTTCTCAGAATTTTTGGGGTTGCCTGCCTTGAGAATTACTATAGCGAGACTTAGTAAATTGTGGCATGTGCCTCCAAGAAAAGAATAACCACATTGTGAAGTTGGTCCTCAGAGTGGGACTTCTGTTCTTTGAAATGCCATTTACTGTGTAGAAGCTGTTTAAGGACACTGTAGGGAGCACAGGGTCTGAGTGTAGTCCACAGTCTTGCGTGTAACTGAGTGTGGTAGCACACAGCTGCAAGTTGGGAGTGGAAGCAAGATCAGAAGTTCAAGACCATCCTTAACTACATAGCAAGTTTGCAGCTAGCTTGTGTCTACATGAAACCCTATCTATAAATAAATGTACTCTAGGTGATGCATGGAAGTGATAACCCAGAAAAGGGTGTCAGGGACCTGCATCTGTGCCACGTGGAAAGCCGACCAAAGCAACTGTGGCTACCACAGCTGAATGTGTGGAGTGCTGACCCTCCTATTGGGTCTCTCTTTAGCCCCTCCTGCCTGTCCCAGCCCCACATCAAAAAGGACAGCCGAGACAGAGCTGTCAGGGTTTGAATGAAATCCGAAGATGCATGAATAAACTTTGAGGATTATTGGTCTGAGCTGTGGTTCTCAGCCCTGACTTATGAGGTGCCAGTTTGTTCCCCTGGTATAAAGCCCATCAGCTTTACAGCTCTTTGGTGGCCTTGCACTCTGTCCTGGAACTTTCATCGGAGCTGCTGCTGCTGCTACTGTCACAGTTGACCAAAGAGTGATGCTTTGGCACCAAGTTAGAGGACACAGCTGACTTCCTCATTCTGTGAAAGTCAGCAGTCACCATCACCTAAAACTTTCAAGCCCATTGCATTGCTCACACGTGGCCCTTCTCCATGAGGGACTCCCCACAAAGACATCCCATCAAGGTAGCTTTTATCTCTGCAGAAAGGAGCACCTGGTAGTTGGTAGTTAGCCCAGATGGGAAGCATGAGACTGGGACTTGAGGAACTTACAGTGTGTCCAAGGGGACATTTCTGGGTCTGTTTGCTGAAATTTGTCTCCTGCCTTTTGGTCTTTGTGGGGGGGAACATGAGACAGTGAATGATGCGGGACCAGGAGAACAACAAAACTGATGTTGAAAGTTTCCAGTGGGATGTGTGTGCTCGGGTGGGTGCTTAAGAAGGTGGACCATGGTTTTCTGAGAACATACCCTGTGGAGAAAATTGGGGAAAGCATGAAAAGTCCTGCTTGAGGGTGAATAACAAAATGTACCCAACCTCCCTACCTAAACAAACATAAGACCCACAGCCGTCAGTATCTATATTCTGACCCATGGTGCTTAGAGACTGATGTCTGCCCTTTGACTCAGTGGCCACCATGAACACTGATATCACAAAAAGGCAGTGTCTGGTGCCCTCTGTAACGTAATACCTCTTTGGGAATCAAGACACCAGGAAACACTGGCAGAAATCCTGTCTTCTTTCTTTGATTTCCTGCGAGCTGAGGTATATTGTTTCTCCAACACACTTAACTTCTCAACCAGAATGCTCTCTCTGGTAGCTGAAAACCTACTGATAGTAGTTGGAAAGGCATGTGGACATGTGTTCTTGTGTATGGAAGTGCAGGAGTGCATGCACTTATATGTATGAGTCTGCTTGAATGCTGGCTCTGTGTGTGTGTGTGTGTGTGTGTGTGTGTGTGTGTGTGTGTGTGTGTGCGCGTGCACACTTGTATTTGAGGAGTCTACTTGGACACTGGCTATGCATGCATATACATTTACCTGTGTGTGCACACTTGTGCATACCTGTGCACAGATGTTAAGTGAAATGACACATGGCTCTTGGTGTTACCTTTGTAGGTGCTCTAGTTTCAGAGTCTACATCAGTGGGCTAAAGGGACAAACTAAGCGTGGAGCACATTTTAGCAATCTCTCTCCGCTGCCCCCCAGCTCTGTTCTCTGTTCAGAGGTAAAAACCAGCAGGACCCTTACCTCTGACCTAGAGTGGAGCCTGACAAAAGATGGCTGTCAAAGGCCTGTGTGCAGACACAGCTCAAGTCACCCACTCTAGATTCTGTGGGTTTTCTGGGTGAGAATGTACATTCACAAAATACAGAGAATCAAATTAGGGCTCTCCATAAAAACCATACTCCCTTCTCTGGAACAAATGTACTGTTTCTGGTTAAGATACATGTTAAAATTCTGTGTTTACTGTGGTCACACTGTGAATGAAAGGAACAAAACTAGCTATTGTTGTTTTTGCTGTTTCTCACTAGTGATGGTACAGTGATGTGGGGTTGAAGTCTGTTCCCTCAGCTTTCAGAAAAGGCACACATGTATTCTGTCTTTAAAAAATAGAGAGAGAGACAGGGAATTGGCTGTAACTCAGCAGAATAGTAGTTGCCTAGCATGCAGAAAAACTTGGGTTCAATCCCAGCACTGACACAAAATTAAATGAATACATACTTAAAGTCAGATAGACACGTTTTTATATATGCAGATACATATTCATATGGACAGTACATGAATGTGCTGATGTAAATGTTCTAAATTGTTAATGTTAATTTCCCCAAAATACATATGATTTATAGTTTAAAGTCCACTCATAGGTGATGAGGCTGAACCTAACATTTTACATAGAAATGGTTTTTTCTGACCTTTATGAAACCCAAATTCTGTACTTTTGAACTGGGCATGGTGTTTCAGAGCTGTACCTCCAGCACTTGAGAGGTAAGGCAGGAGAATCAGGAATTTAAGGTTGTCCTCAGCAAGTTTGAGGTCAGCCTGAGCTACATGGCATAAGACCTTGCCTCAAAAGAAAACAAAAAATTCATACTTTTACCAGAGAAAAACAGGGGACTGTCTGGGTCATCTTTTTCACACTTAAACAAGCATTGTGAAAGAGGAGTACTGAGCTGTACCTCTTTCCTCGTCCTTCTGTCCACTCTTGGTGACCTGATCCTGTACCGGTGCTCTGCCCACACCTCACTGATGAGCAGACTTGCTGTCCACGCCGTGAACCTGTCAAGTCTCTGATCTTCCTCTTGTCCAGCAGTTCTCATTTTTCCCATCAGGCTATTGAGTCACACTGAAAACCTTGCTTATTTTGTACTAAGGAATCCAAAACTCTACAAAGTAAAGCTACATTGGGAAATTGAATAAGCATATGTTATACTTACATCCCAAACTGATCCTCTACGAAACATCCATCACTCTGCACACAGACATATGGTCCATTCCGGCTTCATCCAGATGGTTCATCTCTGTCCCATCAGCTGGTACCCTCAAGACAGGGTTGCAGTCACAGAAGCCTCCCAGCCAAGGCTCTTGGCCCAACTTCCTCGAGGCCTGACTGGGCTGGCCACCTTTCCTAACTGAGCTTAGGACATCACTGTGGTCAGCCCAGACTGGGGTGACACTAGGGACACAGGTAGAATGCCAGGAGCCAAAGTCTATATTGGCCACACTATATGTCCATCTCCTTGGCCCTAACACCTTGACCATAGATGGCCTGAATTCATATGTACAAAACTAAATGCTCAAGGGTTGTCAGCTGCCTTGTGCAGGACAGGTCAGGGTGCCTGTCACACTCTATGCTTGCCATCACCTTCGGCAGTATCAGTCTCGTCCTCACTGGAAATGCTCTGAAATTGGAGCTGTAAAAGCCCAGACAGGGCACAGCCACACCAGGGAGAGAAACCCTGTTGCCCAGTACCTGTGTTTATGTCTGGAGATGAAATTTTCCCAAGGTTAACTTTGTGAGTAAAAACTCAAGTCACATTACCACTGCACATAAAGACATGGTTAGCCCATGAAACCCAAGAAGAAATGGAATCCAATTGAAGAGGGAAGTTTGGGGCAAGCACCAGGAAATCCTTTGACCAGAAGTGTTGCTAGATTGGGGAAGTGTCCCCAAAGGAAGTGGGAGACATGCAAGCCAAAAGCCCAGCCCCCATGGAAGACTAGCACTTCCTCTGCTGTTGTATTGTCTTCCAAAATCCTGTCAGAGGCCAGTTTATCCTGGCTGCCACAAAACAAAACAAGACTCAACTATCAGAATCAAGTCATAAAGTAGTTCATTTGTTTGCTACAATAAGGGGGGCTTTTATAGCACACCCTCAACCATCACCCCCGAAATGCTATTTCCCATTGGAAGGAAGGTTGCAGCCTACGGAAGGGCCTTTGCCCTGGCTATGGCCTTGTTGTTGGGAACAGGATGTGCAGGAGTCCAGGACTGTTTGCTTTAACCAGCATGCTTCTATCACTGCAGAGTTATGAAGTGAAGAATGTCCTTGGGAAGGAGATGGGGCCTTTACTCTGCTTTGTCCAGTCTGCCACTCCACAGCAGGCCAGCTGCGTCACACTGGAGGAAATTGAACTTCTAGGTGCAGGAGGCAGCAGCCATCCTTCTTCCTGACATCTGGGAACTTGGCACTGAGGGTGGAGGTTTGATTTGGGGAGCTGTGTTAACTCCACAGAGTATTTTTATGGTTTTAAATTTAATGGTCCCCCCCCCTGGTAATACAATTAATACGATGGTTTTGTAAGTTAAAAATCAAAATACCTTTATTATATCTTTTTTAATTACCTTCCTGTAAGTTTGAGGACATGTTTCTAAAGCTTGAATATCCCTGTGGTCTTCATTTTGCATTACTTAGGCAATATTATTGATTTATTAGGAAATGTTTATTGTTGTAGTTTTAAATAAAGTATTTAAGACTTTACCAATATTTGTACATTTTTTTTCTTTGTGGTATTTAATGTTTCCTGAAAGACTATTCTGTAAAGCTTCAACCAGTATCTCATATTGAGATGTTGCTGCTCTGCTCTAATAAATAAATATCCAACCCAGACACTGGAGTTTTAGTATTCTTGGGACTGCCAGAGATGGCACTGTCACCCACAATGTAGATGCATTGGGTCTGACAAAAGCTGTATTAAACAAGTTTTTGTAGCTCACTCCACCACACACCTGTCAGAGGGCAAAGATCACAGACTCACAGCGACCCACCATCCTGTGCTTTGGGCAGGATTTAAGTTACGTATTTGGACTCTGAACGTTTGGTTTTTCCTTCTGCACACAACACAGTAACAACAGGCCGTGTTCCTAACACACGGTTTTCTTAGGAGAAAGGCGCACAGCTTTTGGGGGAGTAAGCCCTCAAACATTACAATTAATGGCGTTTGGGGCTGTCCTTTTTATATACAAAGGTGTCCTGATGCACACTTTGAAATATACATGATGTCCCTAGGATTGAGGAAAATGAAAGCAAAGCTACACAAGCAAAGAGGAATCCTGTTTCTGACTCTCTCCGGCTCTTCCACCCTCTCGTCCTCCAGTTGTTCTCTGGCCAGCCCCAACCCAAGTCTGCACACTCTCCTTCCACCTAACATGGAGTAGCTATGTTTTCCCATGTTCCATGAGGCCAACTCTGCCAGGCTTCCGAAGGGAGCACACTCACCCATCTCCTTACCCGGTGTGGGCACCACACCTGGTCCCGTGGTTTCCAGGCGCCCGCTTTCCCTGGTGAGGTCCCAGGACATTGTGTGCGGGAGAGACTGAATATAGGAAGCTGCAGCAATTTAAATGCTTCTTTATTCTTACAAATATTGTAAAAATTAATACAAAAAGCATGCGCAGTCTCTTCCTCTTATCTACAAAAGTCTTCGAAAAGTCTTCTCTTTCTACAAATGTACCTTAGCTGCAATGGTAATAAGACGTAGAAAAGGCTACCATTATAAAAATAATTTAAGGGGGAAAGATATAGCTTCTCTCGCAGTCCAGTGTCCAAGCTGCAGCTTCCGGTCGCTCGCACGTCCCAAAGAAACTGCAGCAGCTCTGGTGGCGTCCACTCCCGGCCGTCGGGGTCTGAGGTATCGGTCGTTTGGAGTCTCTGAGGCCCACGCCACGCGTTACCGGCAGTCGGTGCCGGTGGGCGGCAGGAAAGGCGGGCTGGGCAGCTGTTTGAAGAACTGCCGGAGGCCGGCCAGGTCCCGCGTGAGCTGCTCCACGCGCTGGTGCAGCTTCTCGTTCTCGGCCGACAGCTCCACCAACTTCTGCTGCATCTCCTGGTTGCGGCGCTTGGCCTTGTCGCGGCTCTTGCGCACAGCGATGTTGTTGCGCTCACGCCGCTGCCGGTACTCGGGGCTGCCGCGGTCCGGACCCCTCTTGCCGGTGCCCTTCTCTCGGACGGGGCCGGCCGCGAGGCTCGGCCCCGGGCTGCCTCGAGGGGGCTCGGGAGACGTGGGCGGTGTGGGTTGCGCCGCGGCCGCCAGGCTCACCACTGTCTGCGCGCACACGGCCACTTGCGCGGGCAGCAGGGAGCCCGGCGCGTCGCTGTCGCCCCAATCGGGCTCACGCTTGAGCGGGCCCCGGGTGGCTGAACCCGCGCCTGAGGGTCGAGTGGGGCCGCCGGGCAGCAGCTCCAGGCCGCCCGCGCCGGCCGCTTTGTGGTTGCTGTTGAAGAGGTCGGCGAAGAGCTCGTCGTGGCACAGCTCCAGGGTGGGCACGGCGGCCATGGAGTCAATGTAGGCGCTGAAGTCGATGGCGCTCTCGTCGTCGTACATGGCAGGGGCCGTGGAGCTCGGCTCCCCTAGATCCGCCGGTTCGGGCCCGCGGCCCGGCTTGCCCACTCTGCCTGGCTCGTAGAAGGCCGTGGGCTCGGTGGGCCAGGGTGCGCCGCGCGCGGGGCTGTCCAGGCTGAAAAGTGCGGCGCTCATGGCGGCGTCGGCCTGGCCAGGCGTCCAAGTTGGGCTGTCACCTCGCCGGACCGGGCCGCCGCCTTTTCTAGCCCCAGCTGACAAGCACGCCCCGCCCCGGCACCGCGGGTCGGGGACCCGAGCGGGGAGGGACCGCCCGCGCTGCTGGGAACGACCCGCCCTCTGCCCGCACTCCCGGCCCTCCCTCCTTCCTGTTTGTGCGGTTTGGAGCTTACTTAGTCCTCCGAGCCTGGAGCGAAATGAAAATCAGGATTTGACCCGACGCGCGCGAAGCCTGCCGCCTTCAGTCACCTCTGACGGCGGCCCGAGTCCACAGGTTCTGTCCTGGGCGCCGCCGCTGAGGAGCCAGGAGTGAACTGTAAGGTCCGGGTCCGCGGCTCAGCCTCAGACGGTCCCTAGCAAGCGCAGCCATCGGGCGTCTCCGGAATTCGAACCCGCTCCAGCCACACTTCTCAGGGATGCCGAGGCTCAGCCACACTGCTTGGTGGATGGACGGGTTGTCGGGACCTCCCCCTGACCTCAGATGCCCAGGAGAGTGGAGGCCACCCTAAACATGGTGCGTTTTGCCGCACCTGACAGCGATCTTGGGTGCGCCAGCTTTTCTTCCAGGTTATTGAGGCTCTGCCACCTGGTGGTAGCATAGTGTCGCGCTGTTTCTTTTCCTTGCTAATTGTTCCCAAAAGGGGTGCTAAAGAAAGAAAAGGGGTGCTGAGAGAAAGCTAAGATAACCATCAATACCTATAAAGAGGTGTGAAGTTTCCAGCTCTTAAAAATGCATAAAAAGATGTGTTGCTAAATTCATGAAAAAATGAAGTGAAATTACAACCCCAGGTATTCAGAGCTGAGGCTGGAGGGATAGTTGAGCCCGAGAGTTCAAGTGCCTGAGCTCTGTCTCAAACAAACACGAGCCAAGAAAAACATTGGTCCAAATTCAGGTGTGTCCTTCGTGTCCCTCTCCTTATCTTTCCCATCCACCGGGTATTTTGGCCAACATCAGCTGGTCCACACACGGCAGCCCAGCTCCTACCATCAATTCCATAGGAAAATTAATGTTGGGCTGTGGAATATTTAATGGGTTTTCTGGAGAAGGGTAAACACAGTTGTGGAATTTTAAAACGGTACATGATGTGGATGTTATCACTAATGTTCATATAACTCATGCACATACAGAGGAAAGACCTAGAACAAACTTCTTGGTTCTTAGATGCCGCAGAAGCACGACGAAGGCCCTCCTTGTCCCTCATAGAGGCTTCGTGCCAAGGCTGTTTTCGATGAGACAACCTGCTATTCCTGGTACTTGGGTCCACTCTTAAATTTATGAAAACTAAGTTGTGTTTACAAGACACTGGGGCCAATTAATTCCTTAGGTTAGGAAGCCATTGGCACCTTTGGGCTGCACCTGAAAGCTATGTGGTGTCAACATTCAGAAACTCGCTGGCCATTGCGTAGTATTCACATCTGGACCTGAACCCCCCCCCCCCACACACACACACACACCCACATTTCCTAGAAGAAAGGAGACAAAGCATGAATGTATTGTGACATTTGAGAGCTATTAAAGACCCCTTAAAATATCGATCTAGATTTAGTCCTCGTGACAGCTGCTTGTAATCCTTTCATGACTGTCCACTGCACTCAGGGGCCTTTCCTAGCACCACAGGTGATGCTCTCAGCTTGAATACAAACGCTCCCGGTGCTTTGTCACTGTGAGAAATCCATCATCCTGGTACTCACTGAAGCTGTTCTCAGCATACCTGTCAAAAAAGCCCTCTGGCTAGAATCCTTAATCCACCTCTTTGTCCTCCACAAGGTTCTCACATGGAACATAGTGGAGAGGTTCTGAAAACCTTGCTGGGAAAGTTCAGGAGACTAGCAATGTTGAGAGTGTTCTAGAGCTGAGGAGCATTGTCAGAGTTGGAAGGTCAGTCTGGATCCTGTCTGTGCAGTTCACTCCACACAAGAACAGTTCTCTGGATGGAACACTCACATGTGAAACATTTCTGAATAGTCCTAGGTAAAATTAATATGAAATCAAGTTTGAAGAGAAGTAAAACTTAGTTGACTTCAGTGCCCTCACAATTTGTTATTTCCAATATCAGATTATATACTTTAAAAAACATTTCCATTTATTGTTATGTGTGTTTCAGGGGGAAGAAAGGAAGGGAGACGGCACATTGTAGCATGCATTTGGAAGTCAGAGGACAACTTTCCCTTTTTATTTTGCTATTTGGGTCTACCTGCCTAGGCTGTAGGCGACATCTCCTCCTATACCCATTCCAACCTGCTGTGATAGTTTGAATAGGAGTGGCCCCCATAGACTCATGTGCTTGGCCCATAAGGAGTGGCACTATTAGGAGGTGTGGCCTTGTTGGAGGAAGTGTGTCACTGTGGGGCCAGCCTTTGAGGTCTCCTATGCTCAGATGTGCCCAGTATGGCTCACCGTCTCCTGTTGCCTGTGGATCCAGATATAGAACTCTCTTAGCTTCTTCTCAAGCACTGTGTTTGCCTGCACACTGCCATGTTCTGCCATGATGATAATGGACTAAACCTCTGAAACCATAAGCCAGCCCCAATTAAATGTTTTCCTTTGTAAGAATTGCCATGGTCATGGTGTCTCCTCACAGCAAAGGAAACACTAACTAAGGCACCTATGTAACTAAAGTATCTTTTGAAAGAAGGGGTAACAATATACATTTGATTCCAGGGACTCATAATATAATGGGGGATGGACTTACTTTACCATGTGATAGAGTTTGCCTTGAGCAGCTGACATCTTGGCTGGGGGACCTCATAAAGGTGGAAGTAACCATGTGTTGATTGCCATCTTTGCTAACGATATAAAGGAGACAAATGATGTAACTCCACCACCTTCTTGGTTAATGTCACTATATATCGCACAAGCCAAAATAATATCCATAAAACTTCATGGTCCCACTTAATCCTCTCTGTGTTAGATTCCCAAAGCAGCACAAAGAGACAAAAGGCAGGAAAAAGACTACAGTCTGACCTTAATAGATGAGATTGTGCTTATTAACACACACACACACACACACACACACACACACACACACACACACACACAGAAGGACAGGCTCTTTCCCACAGGAAATGGAGGGGTCTTTGAGGGGGACAG